TCCATCCATCCATTTTTTTGTTCTACTGTCATTCCATCCATCCATCCATCCATCCATCCATCCATCCATCCATCCATCCATCCATCTATCCACGCACCCTTTCATTCATCCTCTTGTTCGTCTTGCATCGCTCCCTTTCGTCTGTCCATCCATCCATTTTTTTTCTACTGTCATTCCATCCATCCATCCATCCATCCACCCACCCGGTGGTTGATTGGTGGGTGCTCTGGTGTGGTTTGCTCCTTCTTTCCTTTCAAACATCTATCGTCCAGATCTCTCCCCTCCTTCTTTGTTTTTGTTACTCCGCTCGTAGCACAATCTTCAGCACCTATATGACCTTTTTGTGTTGCAAGTGCCGTAAAACTCTTACTAAACAAACATCCATCCTTCCATCCATCTTTCCATCCATACGTCCATCATTTCACCCCGCCATCCATTAGTTTGTCCGCCATCTCACATGCCTGTCTGTCCATCCATCCATCATTTTGTTCGTCTGTCACTTCATCCTTTCGCCTGTCCATCTTTCTTTCATATACAAGTCTTCACACCTGATTGTCCGTGGGTGGTTGGCGGGTGCTCTGGTGTTGTTTGCTTCTTCTTAATATTTCATATTAAACTTCTATCGTCCTTGTCTCTCCTCCTTTTTCGTGTATGTTTCTCTCTTGTAATGTAACACATGTAATCTTCGGCACTTATATGAACTTATTGTTTTGCACATGAAGTGCCGTAAAACACTTACTAAAACTAAAAACACCTGATTGTCCGTTTGTTCTTTAACTTAGCATATGGCATAGCGGGTAGGCCCGAGTTCGAATCTGTCTTTCTGTTGTATCCCCCCCCCCCCCTCAGCCCGGTTTGGCGCTAAAAGGCGGGGTCGAAGATGGCCTCCTCCAAGATGATCTAAATTGTGTTGACAATGGCTTAAAAAGCCTACATTTGAAATAAGTAGGGGAGAAATAATTTTTTTTTTTAGTTGATAATAACCTTCTGCCCTTAGAGTAATGAAATGTATTTCTGTAGTAATATATAGTGTCCTTGAGGCCGATCGCTGCGCAGAAGGCCCGAGGCTCTGGCTTTTCGTGACTTGCTCTGTCCACAGCCCGCCCATCGGTATCGGGTTACATGTACAGCTGCTTTTTTGTATTTTGCTTCTGTTCTCTCTCACTCTCTCTCTCTCTCTCTCTCTCTCT